AATCAGAAAGTTTCTGCTGCCAGCCCAGGACTGAGGACTTCACACCCAGCAACACCCAAGCCACACTGCACAGCTTGGGCGACATAGGGGCATCATCAGCTCCCTCGCAATAGATTATCCAACACAACGTGATCCAGTGCCACACTGCACAACTCCAGAATGCACAGTCCTGTGCGCCTTTTCTTTGCCTACCTCAGTTTTGCAAAAGAGAATGACGGGTTTCCTCTACTTGCAGCAGCCCCCTCCGGGTGCCAAATTACAAGCCCCTCCCCCGTTTGTCAGGCTCCCTTTTATTATGCACTGTTTTTGCCTGCTGCCGATTTAGGCCACACAAAGACAACTGTTCACAACTCAGTACTACTGGGCTCCCTCCAAACGGCTCAATCCGAGGAAAAAAAGGGGGGCGGGAATGCTCCAGTTTTACGCCATTTGGAAGCATACAGCTGGCCATTCCTTCCCGAGCTGGGAGCGGTTTCAAGTTCTGCTCTAATTTTAACATTGTGAACAACAAGTTCGCTGGATTAGCTGGAATCCCAGAGACAGCCTCCCTTTTGTTCAGCGTTTTATAGTAAACAAGTCATTGTGTCAAAGGAAGGCAAGAGTTCTCGGGCGGTTCCAACAGCAACCCAGAAAAATGAACGCAGTTGCTGATCGGCGGGGCTTTGGGACTGACTGAATAAGCCCATCACTAGAACTATACATGGAATTTTTGAGTTTTGTGGCTTTTTTATGGAATTGTAAACAAAAAACACCAAGTCATGGCATTTGATTCCAAAGACATACTGAAGAAGGGTGCAAAGAGTACATAAAAGTTCTCGTCTCTCGCTTAGAGTGTCAGTAAAGATGGATAATGTGGGTAACCACACATGGACAGGGTCTAAACAAAAAGGCTGAACAAATAACTATCAGGATGATTATTTTCTCTCCCACTCAGAGCGTTAAATTAATTTACTGACTTCATTTATAGCGGCCTCTCCTCCATTTTATCCCCACAACAATTCTACGACGTAGGTGAGGCTGAGAGTGTGTGATTGACCCAAGGTCACCCAGCGAGCTTCCATGGCACCAGTGGGGATTTGAACTCGGATCTTCCAGATACTAGTCCAACGCTCTTAACCACTATACCACACTACATTAATACAGCACAGCTAGGGAGATTATTATGACCTACTACCTAACATTGATGGTTACTGTGCTTCGCAAAGAAATGTCATAGACTGGACCAGGGCTTTTTGGGTAGAAAAAGCAAAGCAGGAACCCATTAGCATAATAGGCCACACCCAACAGCTGAAACTCATTAGCATATTAGGCCACACCCTGACACCACAGCTCATTAGCATATTAGGCCGCAGCCCCGTGTTGCCAGAAGTGTGGTCATCCAGCCACACCCACCTTTTGCTTCTTATTCTGTTTACCTTGTTTGTTGACAAAACCCAGGGCCTTTTTTTGTAGCAGGGACTCCTTTGCATGTTAGGCCACACACCCCTACTGTAGCCAATCCTAATAAGTTTCTGCTGTTGGGTGTGGCCTACTATGCTAATGAGTTCCTGCTGGGCGTGGCCAACTCAGGAGCCAGCCGGAACTCCGTTCCTGTGCGTTCCTGCCCAAAAATAGCCGTGGACTGGACCATTTATCTTCCATGCTGATTTGGCTTTTGCTCCCGTTTAATTTCCTTGTATGTACACATAGGCAGTGTTCCCTCTAAGCTGAGTTAGTGTGAGCTAGCTCACAGTTTTTTAGCCTCTAGCTCACAAATTTTTGCCTTAGCTCAGGAAGGGCAGCTCCAAAGCAAACTGATTTATGCAGCTGCCAAATCGCTCACTCACAGTAGCTCACAAAGTAGGATTTTTGCTCACAAGACTCCATATCTTAGAGGGAACATTGCACATAAGTGTGTGTGTGTCTGCATGAGATAATACTTCACGCATCCAGTGAAGTGGGCTCTAGTTCGTCCAAGCTCATGCCATGATAAATCTGTTTATTTCTAAAATGCCACAAGACTCCTTTTTGTTTAGAGGCACAGGACTGAAATCTCTAGCAACTGTACTGATTCTTCAGATCCTAACCCAGGTATCCCCATATATTTGTCTGCTTACATGATCCAGCCATCAAATTCCAAGCACATGTTATAACCCACCCACCCCAACAGGATAAATGCATTTGGGATGCCATCGCATTCCTTTTGAAGAGAAAAGAGATTGGATTTATACCCTGCCCTTCACTACCCAAAGAAGTCTCAGAGTGGCTTACAATCTCCTTTCCCTTCTCCTCCCCACAACAGACACCCTGTGAGGTAGGCGGGGCTGAGAAAGCTCTCTTGAGAACTGCCCTTGAGAGAACAGCTCTGAAAGAACTTATGACTGACCCAAGGTCACGCTAGCAGCTGCATGTGGAAGAGTGGGGACTCAAACCCGGTTCTTCCAGATTAGAGTCCATGCTCCTAACCACTACACCAAACTGGAGAAGGATGGAACTTTTTGACATGGACGGAAAGGTCTCCAAAACATGAGTCAGAAAAGACTGCATGTCGAACTGGGGGGGGGGAAAGGCATTCCAATCCTTGTCTCCTGGGGGAAGGGGTCCCGGCTCTGTGGCAGTGACTCATGCCTTGCATGCACAGAAGGTTCCCAGTCCAACTGCTGCCATCTCCAGTTAAACCAATCGCCTGCAGTTTGCACAGAGAAGCCCTCCCATACCCCCAAGGCCCTGGAGGGCCACTACAACCCCACGACAGAGGACATTGATGTTGATGGATGCCAAGGTCTCGTTCCGGATAAGGAACGCTCACAGAGACCAGCATCTGAGCCCACTCGCCACCTGGAATTCCCGAGGGCACTTTGATTTAAAAATATTAACGTGCATCTCGACAAAAGCGTTTTGTTTGGTAAAGTAAAAAAGGACAAACTGACGGGGACATTCTGGGGGAAAATGCAAAAAGGTCGGGGAGACATCTGTGTCTCTCGGTTCTGCAGTCTGAAAAAAGATATTGGCACAGGGCCACGGCTGGCAATCGCTACATCAACAACGCGGCTGCCAACTGAGAACACGGAAAGGGGGTTTTTCTCAAAAGGAAACCTGGAAAGGCGGTAGAAGTTCGGGGACTTCGGTGCACCCTCATTTCACAGCTCCTGTACAAATCTCTTTCTGAGACCTCCATGTGGTGGCGAGAAGGCAGAAAACGTGTTCCCGAAACACTCAGGCAGGAACATACAGGAACGGCTAATTAAAGCACGGGTAGAATGGTAATCCTTTGTAGAATGACTGGCATCAAGAACGAGATGCAAATCCACGAATGTGCCTGTCATGGGGAATGCCCGTGTTGACAGGCAACAGCGCTGCAGGTTCATGAAGGTACAATGCCTTTTTCTTCAAAGCAGGTACAGATTTCAGATTGGGAGTGTCAGAGTGGCAGGAACACCTTAAACTACCGTATGCTGAATCAGACCTTTGGTCCAGAAAAGTCTGCTGTTTACTCAGACTGACAGTGGCTCTCCAGGATGTCAGGTGGAGGTCGTTCACATCACATACTACCTGATCTTCTTAAACTAGAGGAGGAGGAGGAGGAGGGAGATTGGAAGCCCTTCACTCAGAGTCTCAGAGTGGCTTGCAAACTCCTTTCCCTTCCCCTCCCCACAGCAGACACCCTGTGAGGTGGGCGGGGCTGAGAGAGCTCTTTCGAGAACAGCTCTCATAGAGCTATGGCTTGCCCAAGGTCATCCAGCAGCTGCGAGTGGAGGAGTGGGGAATCAAACCCGGTTCTCCCAGTGTTCTCCGCACACCTAACCACTGCACCAAACTGGCCATATCCTAGAACACCAATAAGCATGTTTGGATCAGCCTCCCCCCCCCGGGGGGGGCATATTTCCTGGCTACTGCTGGACTTTCCAGATTTTTTGAACACGGTATATGCTAAAGATTGCCAACGGGAGAACAAACACGCTTTCAAGACTTGTGAAACGGTGCTCTTGTATTTTCAAGTTACACCTTTCTTTGTACAGCACTACCTAGTATCAAATGTGCATTTCGACGGACCATTCACATATACACACATGAACACAAAAGGCGGCTGTCTCCTGGGAGCCTCTGTGGGATCTGTTGAGAAGTCTTCCCAGTGGCACCGTCACGGGGCATCATTGGGGTGCGCTGCCCTGCGGAAACGACCTTGAGCCGGTCCGTGCGGCAGGAGAGGAGCGGCGCGGCGGGCACTTTCCCACAGCTGCGTCCTGAGACATTTTGTAAAGTCCGCGACTCTTTAGAGCATAACAGAGGGGCTGGGGTAATGGCGGCATGGGAAAGGACCACGTCGTCTGTCCTGAGCGACCGGGTAGGAGAGCGCCCTGAGCTCTCTGCAGAGGTCGTCCTTGACAGATACCTCTCTTTGTGCCCTTGAGGTCCCTGCCTCCTTGGGTTGAGAGGGCATTGCTTAGCTTCGATCAGAGAGATCACAGTGGGGTATACAGCAATGCTCCCTCTAGGCTGTGGAGTCTGGTGAGCAAAAGTTCCACTTGGTGAGCTGCTGGCACCAGTTGTGAGCGAGCGATTTGGCGACTGCATTAATTAGCTCTCTCTGGAGCCCTCCTTCCTGAGCTGAGACACGACTGCGTGAGACGGAGGCTAAAAAACTATGAGCTGGCTCACACTGACTCAGCTTAGAGGGAACACTGGTGTACAGAGGCCGTGGCTTTCTTAGGGATGTCTGGCCCCACGGTTGCCACCGATTTCGTAAGATAAGACACAAGCTGCGCTGCTAGTCCTCAGTGTTTTGCTGCCGCTGGTCTACTGGCTTGACTAAGGATGTAACCCAAGAGGATCCCACCGCCCGCTCCCAGCATTGCGTACCGGGACCCAAACTCTGCATATTTATTTCAGCAAGGGACATAAGACATATGTGCATCTAAAAACCGTGAGACGTGGCCATGGCTCTCTTAGTGGGCAGCTTTCCAAGTCAGGGAGCTGGCAAGAGTTTGCGATTGGCAGGAAAACAGAAAAGGCACACAAACCTTCTCCTTCTGTCACTTCCGAGCGATCTGGCTTCGTCTCCTTGTGCTGGCCTTCCGCCACTTTCACGGCCACGGCTCGGCAAATCGCTCCGAATTTGCGGTCCAAAGAGCGGACTCCTGCCTCACGGGTGTACCTAGCATGGAGAAGCCACGAGATTGCCCTTCTGGTACGGGTCTAACGGACATTTCTCTGGATTTGCCACTGTTCTATTAACTGTGCAGAGGTGTTTTTTTGTTTTTTTTAAACAATTTGGCTACCCGATTTCCACGAACCATTTCAGCATGCAGAACGATTTACCTGTGAAGGCTCTAACAGCCGTAATAAAGCATGTCTCAGAATCTACCCGGGGGGGGGGGGGGGAAAAAGGGAATAAGATTGAGATGCAATCAATACTGAAGTGGAGCCTAACGACAACCCTAAATGGAAGCACAGGAGAGTTTAGTTGCCTCCGCCGATCTTAAAAACGGAAAGAGACCAGATGAACTTCTGGGAAATGGTGGAATAAAATATCCTAGATGCTTCCTGAAGCTCTTTGCTGACAATCATGGTTTTTTTTCCTCCCTCTCTCTCTTACTTGCCTGCGGCAGGAAGAAGCAGCATTGATGCTTCTTTCCGGAACCCTATTCCATTCTTACGCCATCCGGGACAGAACAACCCCCTTGCCAAATGCTAACTCCAGAAGCCCCTTCTGCCCAGCATCAACGTGTTTCCAACACGCTCTCAGAGTACCTGGTTTCTGTCGACAGCTCAGTTAGGAGACGACGACACTCCTGACGTATCTCGCTTTGTTAACATTGCAATATTGGAAACCAATTGAAGATCCAGGAAGACCAGGGAGCAGCTGTGTGAATTAACAGCCTCCTCTCCCCCCCCCCCCCAAATTTTTTTTTTGCTTGGTTAGTCACGGGGAGGGACAAAAACTGCCGGGCCCTGAAGCCCCCTCCCCAGGCACTGCAAATCCTATTCAATTACCCCTCCCCTCCCCAACCCACCTGCCCCCAGCTTCCGAGATTTCATTACACGCTATCCAATATGCTTTCAGGCTCCCCCCCCCCAGCCCTAAGGACTAGAAGCACCTAAAAAGGCTGCGCTATGAATCGGCGGGCCTCCAGTCTGAATCTCATTCCCGTGAATTCAGTCGGCGGCCCTAAGCGAGCCACTCATTCTTGCCTTCGATCTGCCACCTGCCAATTGGGGTTTGGGTGGATTCACCCACAGGGCTGCTGAAAGGACGACAAGGTACCACCACGGCATCCCCACGTTCGAAACGTTTCACTTATGGGAGGAGGTGGATCCGGCAACTTCCTTCTAGTGAGTGGCAATGTCCCCCTCTAAGCTGTGGAGTCTTGTGAGCAAAAATTCTACTTTGTGAGCTACTGACATTAAAGCTGTGAGTGAGCAGATTTGGCTACGGCATAAATTAGTTGGCTCTGGAGCCCCATCTTTCCTGAGCTAAGACATAAATGTGTGAGCTGGAGGCTAAAAAAACTGTGAGCTAGCTCACACTAACTCAGCTTAGAGGGAACACTGGTGAGTGGTGAGTCCGGCTCCTTAGGAAGGAGCTGCTGGACCTGACCCCAACCCCTCCCCCCCCGCCTCTACAAGGCTTCTAATGCTCAAAACGGCTTTCTCAGTGCTAAACATCATCAGGCTGGATCCAAAGATCTTTTTCCGCTCGCCACCCGGGGTCACTTTTCATAGAATCACAGAGTTGGAAGGGACCTCCAGGGTCATCTAGTTCAACCCCCTGCACAATGTAGGAAATTCACAAATACCTCCCCCTCTGCACCCCCACTGACCCCTGCTCCATGCCCAGAAGATGACAAAAAACCTCCAGGATCTCCAGCCAAACTGGCTTGGAGAAAAATTGCTGCCTGACCCCTTCCTGACCCCAAAGTGGTGATCGACATTTCCCTGGGCATGCAAGAAATGGCCCCAAGAACTAAGCACTGAGGCAACCCTTCCTGCCCTCCCTCTGAAGATCTGCTTGAAAACCTCTGCCTGGGTCTCAACAATCCCTGTTGTACCCTTTTTGGGGGGGTCGTCCTCTCTCTCTGGCCAGTGGAAAAGCTGGCAGATATACCCCACTGGTATCATCAGCAACTACAGCTTGGGGCAACTCTTCTTTTCCTGGAAGCACTCTCTCTTTTTCGAGGAGGCATTGTCGATGCATAATAATTCAGCATTTAAAAGGCCTGATCGCCCAGGCTGCACCCCCCCCCCAACACACACACACCAAAAAAAGTGGCAAAGAATTTAAGGGTAGTGAAACTGAACCGAGTGATGATGGCCAGAGTTGCCTCGGGGGGGATCTGGATATTGCCGATGCATAATAATTCAGCATTTAAAAGACCTGATCGCCCAGGCTGCACCCCCCCCCAACACACACACACCAAAAAAAGTGGCAAAGAATTTAAGGGTAGTGAAACTGAACCGAGTGATGATGGCCAGAGTTGCCTCGGGGGGGATCTGGATCTGCTGAGGAGTCAAGCCGTGCTGCTCCAGCTGCTTAGGGATCAGGTGCCGATGCGCGATCTCCATCTTCTCTTCTTGCGTGTACCCTTTAAGAAAAACAAGGAGGAGTCACCTACAAGTGCTGGTGGTGGAAAGCGCCATCGAGTCACAGCCGACTTATGGCCACCCCCGTAGGGTTTCCAAGGCAAGAGACGTTCGGTGCTGGTTTGCATCGGAGAGCCAGCTTGGTGTAGTGGTTAAGAGCGCGGACTCAAATCTGGGAGAACCGGGTTTGAGTCCCCACTCTTCCACATGCAGCTGCTGGGGTGTGACCTTGGGACAGTCACAAGTTCTTTCAGAGCTGTTCTCTCAAGGGCAGTTCTCGAGAGAGCTCTCTCAGCCCCACCAGAGTCGGACTCGACTGTGCGACTGAACAACAACAACAACAATTCTCCCCAATGGGTCCCAGAGTGACCTTTCATCATTCTCCTCTTCTCCATTTTATCCTCACAAGAACCCTGTGAGGTAGGTCAGGCTGAGAGTGTGTTGCTGGCCCAAGGTCACTCAACAATCTCCCATGACAGAGTGAGGATTCAGATCTGGGTGTTCATAGGCCAGATCTTACCGTTGCACCACACCGGTGAAGGTCTGTATGGAAATGCTAACTTCTTTTTTATGAGAGTAATGTTTTAACCATAAGGCAGAGGGAAACAGAGAGAATTGGACAAGACAGGCAAGGACGGCCGTATTTGAGTGGTACAGCATTCTGCTTTGAGTGCCAGTGGCCTCAAAGTTCAACTCCAGGTACTACCCGAAGAAAGGAAATCAAGGAGCAGGAAATACCTTTCTCAGAGATCCTGGAATGCGGGACAAATAATTTGGTTTGTGCTAAGTCTGAAACTGCAAAAGGTCATTCGTATAAAAACAGCGGATAGCAAGGTAGAGACACATAGCCAGTGTGAGTGTAGTTGTTAGACTTGGGTCTGGGGAAACCAGGGTTCAAGTCATGAAGATCAGTGAGGGAGTAGGGGCCAGGAACTCCTTCTCAAACTAGCCTACCTAACAGGGCTGTTGTGAGAGCAAATGTAAGCAGGCTGAGCTCCTTAAAGAAAGAGTGGGGTACAAGTGGGAAGAATCAATGCACCAAGGAGTTTGAATTGTACAACATGTGCAGGGGCAAAGGGTGCAGAAATACTTATCGGACTGTGCATTCTATGGCAGTGGGTTCACTGTGAAGAGACTGTGGAAGAAAACATCGCTTGTTTGCAGAAGGTCCCAGACTCAATCCCCGGCATCTCTAGGTAAAGGATTTGGGGTAACAAAGCTGTAGAAGACTTTTAGAACGTTGCTGCTAGTCAGAGCCAACAGTACTACGCAAGTCAGCCCAATGGTCTGACTCAGTACAAATCAGTTTGCTATTTTCCATGACTCCAAACAAATGCAGAAAATCAGAAGCAGCATGCTTCTGACTGTCACTGGGGGGGGGGGGGGG